GGAAGCTTTCAGATTCGGGTTTTCCCAGATGTGCCAACATGGCTCTTTTAATAAATGGGAACTTAGAGGAATCCTTTGCCTCGGATTCTGATTTAATTTTGGATGCTATTTGGAACCCTGACAGAGTGTCTGGGCCAAAGTCATCACCTAAGGTGGGACTAGAAGAGCTTTCCTTGAGTAAGAGGTTTTTTTTTTGTTTTGAGAAATTGGTAATTATGGGAAAAGTGAAAGAAAGAGGATGACCAGCAGTGGTGATGGGTGCACCTTTACAAGTCCTGCAATAATTCTGGAGAACGTCCACCTCTGTGGTCATTAGGATTCAAAACAACTTAAACTATCACTCACTCAATCAATCAATCAAATGCTGCATATAGCCCCCCACTGTGTTCCCAAAAGCCCTCCACCCCAAGCGTTCCCATCCTTCCATGAGACCCAAGTCTCCCCTTTGTCTTACTTGCACGCTGTTTGGATATTCTTCAGTGCTGCGATGCAAAAGAACGCTACTCTTCTGCCCCAGACGAGCATAGATACAATTAGCAGCTGGGTCATCAGGAACTGTCAGCGTTTCGTAGTGGTGATCAGTTAATTGCTCCATGGTCTTCAGGAAAAAAAAGAGGGGGAGTAGTTAGAGGAATTCAACTCATCTACAGCTCTAATTGTTTGTTTGTTTATTGGATTTATATGCCACCCTTCTCCCAAAGGACTCAGGGTGGCATACAACATTTTTTAAAAAAACACATATTACAAAAGTTAAAAAGGAAATTAAATAAAGTATCCAAAACCAAACCCAATTAATATTAACAATAAAATTTTACAAATTAGATTCAAATTAACAATTATTTTATTCTGTTCAGGCCAGGCCGGCTTGCTGGAAAAGCCAACTTTTTAGGGTGCGTTGGAAGGACCAGAGGTTGGGGATTATGCGAAGCTCATTTCAGGGGGAAGGCGCTCCCACAGAGAAGGCTCTCCCCCGGGGGTCGCTAGCCGACACTGCCTGGCCGACGGCACCCTGAGGAGGCCAACTCTGTGGGATCATACTGGACGGTGGGCGGCTACC